GTCCAGGCAGCAACCTACCTAAGTGTGGTAGATGTGTGTGTTCCCTCCAACTTCACTTGGTCGATGAAGTGTGCATCGGTTCAGACGCAAGTGCGACACCATTAATAGGCCTCTGCATTTCACATCGTCCACTTCGCACTGATCCACCTCATTCATGTGCTCCTAGTCAACAGCTTTTGATATCCGAAAAGCTTTCCTGTAGGTACACAAATGATCAAGGCTTACACAGTAAACTTTCCGAAATGCGGCTGCGTCGAGGATCAATAGCCTGCGATCTGATCGCTAAACTAAACATGGTTACGCCCCGACATAAGTGACCTGGAGATCGCACTGCTTGGCATGCCCATTTTTCGGCACGACCGACCCAGCATAGGTGGAGGCGTGGCTCTGTTCTTCCGCAATGATTACCAATGTGAGCTCACGGAGGATATGGTCAGTACAATACAAGAGTCGCTTTGGTGCCGTCTACGTTTAAATGCTGAGGACACTTGCTTAGTGGCGGTCACTTACCGCCCTCCTTCCTCCACGCCCGAGATGGACTTCTATCTGGCATCCGCACTGAGGCGCGTGATAAACATAACTTACAGTCATATTCTTATTACTAACGATTTCAATCTCCACGCTCTAGAATCCCAAGCAGCTCGCGGAGAATAGTTTAAGGCCGATCTACAAGAGGTTGTCTCCAGTTACCCGCTGTATAGCCACATCAACACTCCCACCCGATTCTGCGAACAACATAAGCCTTCGATACTGGATCGGATATGCATCAAGGAAGAACTGATGGCCGAGTGTGTGGTCATCGACGTGCCATTGGGCCTCAGTGATCATGCAGTGCTACTACTCGAATACATTTTCTATGCAGAAAACCCGTGGAAATCGCCGATGCAATAAAAACGATTATACGCTACGATCTATTGGCTCGATTAGGTGAGACAGCCAACTGGAACTTGCTGGCAGACCAAGCACCAGCTAGTGCACGGGAACATTTCGGTAGCCAGTTTAACTCTCTGGTTTCCAAAGCGTCAGCGACTAAGACCTTCCGCCGAAGAAACGTGGTCTCGTTTCTGCAAAGCAGGACAAGCAATTGTATAGCGGTGCGCAACTTAGCCTGGCATATCCATAAACCCTTCCCGAGCACATAGACCCGGATGGCCTATGCGACCCAAGGTAATGGCTGTACTCAGCTTGTTCCCTAGGATAGAATGGCGTACCAGCAGTAGTTGGCAGTGCACACGGTCTCAAATCACAAACTTCTTTATTAACACGTCGTCTACGTAAGGTAAACCGGAGAATTTCTCCTCTCCAAACAGTGGACGGACCTACACGGACACCGCAGGAGGCTGTGAATAAGCTTCCCCTACAATAAGCTGTAACACTTCAGCGCGATCACTGGACACATAACCCTATGACAATAGTTGTTTACCCTCCAAAATTCACTCATATATCCTACACAGCAGAACCAGTAGTAAAAATGCGGTTGAGCATACGCAAGCACAGCTCTCCTGGAGTTGATAATATACCCACGAAATCGCTAGCGGCAGTAGGAGAGAGTTTAGCTGAGCATTTGGCTAGATTCTTCCAACACTGTTTTGAAGAAATGTAGGTGTCAGCCATGTGGATACACGGGATGATTACTCCTATTCACAAAAATGGTGGTCGTTCCAATCCAGCCAACTACCGTCCCATAATCTTACTACCGGTTTTTTTCAAAGGTCATGGAAGCTACTATTGCTGACGCGCTAACCGCCTAGTTGGAAGAATTTGACTACCTCGCACCGAAACAGCATGGCTTCCGACGAAATCGATCGTGCACTACAAATATACTACTAGCACGATCCAACTGGACTGAAGCAGTAGACTCTCTCACAGAAGTTGATGTAGTCTTCCTCGACTTCTCAAAGACGTTCGACTGGTTAGACCGCAACATTCTGCTCGTCAAAATCCGGACCTTTGGTATTGGTGATCCTCTCCTAGGATGGATCAGAAGCTTTCTTCTACACCAGCGCCTAGAAGTACGAGTGCATGAATCGCTGTCAGATCCCATCCGAGTTAAATGCTGAGTACCCAGGGAACCGGTACTAGGACCGCGATTAGCTTTGACATAGATTAACGATATCGCACGCATCATAAGTTCGAACTTCCTGCTTTAGGCCGATGACATCAATACACCAGACGATCTCACGGTACTTCAAGCTGATCTTGATAAGGTAAACGCGTGGTCAATCCAGAATCTACTTCGATTCAATGTGTACGAGTGTAGAGTGATGCACCTACGGCACAAGTTGATGCACTCCTACAAACGCGGAAACCAGGAGCTTCAAACGTCTTCTGGCGGGAAGGATCTGGGAATTTTGGTCCAGACCGACCTTGAATGTTCGAAGCAGGCTGAAACGGCGTCAAGGCGGGGCAGCCAACATCTGGGCCTCCTGATGCGTGCGTTCGGTCGATTCGATGCTGCGCTTTTTCCACAAGTTCACGGCTCATACATACGACCACGTGTGAAATACGCAATACAGGTCTGGCAGCCATGGCTAAGGAGAGATCTCACCGTCTTGGAGATGCCCCAACGCCGGGCAACCAAGTATCTCAACGGTCTGTATAATTTGCCGTATGAACGAAGACTAGAAGTGCTCGGGGTCTTCAGCAGACAGTATCGACGATTGCGCGGGGAGCTCATTTCGACTTGCGAGATTTTGAGAGCTCTCAACCACACGCGCCGTTACTTGCTAGAACTTATGAGGGTATGCTAGAACTTAGAGGTATGCTAGAACTTAGTCGCAACAGCAATTTGAGAGGTCACCGTCTCAAATTGACAGAGCAGCACAGTCGTTTGCAATGCCGTCGGAATTTCTTTTCTGTACGCGTTTGCACAACGTTGAATGGCTTTCCGGAATCTGCCATATGTGCTCCCGCGCTGGCAGAGTTCAAAGCCCGAGTTCACCGTGCACTTATTTCGCTGCACCATCTTACATGACTCATTACCCATGGATAAACACAAGGGTCTGAAAGAGACTTCACTGGCAGTCAAATCTCAGATTTCGTTGCACGTTTTTCACTCCTGTATGTGTACACCAGAAGGAGACACGATTTTTACCAACATCCCATTTGTCGTCATTTCTTATGGATTTATTTTTGGTTTACAGTCTATGCTACTTATACTTCAGTGAGTTAACTGGTGTTAACCTAATTTGGTTAAAAATGGTTTTGTTGTCTATTTTGAAGTTTCACCATAACCATCCTAGGGGACCCGTATAAAACCATTGTTCCATTGAAGTGTGCTGCTGATGTAGTGTAAGTCACCCATGGTTCTTCTGCGGTCGCAAGTATGTTGTGCGTGGTCCTGTTGCGGTGTCGGGTAACTTAACTGTCGTTATACACACTCGATGTTGGCTTTGACAATGTGTACACCGCGTCACCTCACTTCATTTGAGATAAACAGTTCTAACTGGACTCAGTTTTGCTTTAATTATCCGATTTGCCACGAGCCTGTTCACTCATTTGCTAAGTATCCCCTTGGGAGCTCGGCAAATCGGATCCATCGACTTTTGCTTCGTAGTCATATGCTAAGACACGTTGTTCATACGATTCTAGCTCTGCGTCTTACCGTTAATTACACTTCACGAGCCATCCTATACTTTTAATTAGACAACAAAAGGCGATAGTTTAAAGTATTGAGACCACATTTTCGTAGCTCAAGTGAATCTCGACCAGCTGATGAGGCATCATACAACGTTGATGTAATTCTAATGATTTGACCGCATACCTCATCCTCTGTCGACTTGTTTCTAATGTGAATTATTTAATCTCATATTCTTGAAACAAAGTAGTCATATCAAGACTGTGTTGCAGAATTACCAATGGAATGGAGTTAGCCTTAGAATGTAAGCTCGTTACCGTTGGGATGATACGATCACAATCTCCCGACCCAGCTGACACAAAGCTTGTGAGCATGCCGCGGATGAACATTGCTTATTAAATGGCAGGCAGTAAAACCAGACTGAATAGTTGAAATTACCGAAGTCATTACAAAACACCGGAAACTCGTCTCTAGCAAGTCAACAAGATGTGCTTGTGGCTACTGTTCGCAGTGCCAATTTCCTGCAAGTTGGTGTTCCGAGTATACCAGTTGACGTTAGTGGTCTCTAGCAACTCAACTTGGGACCATTGATTAATGGCTGGTTTCACCTTATGGGAAGTCATGTGACTCAGATCGGTGTAGGCGATTTGTTCCGCTATTTGCTGGCGAAAGTGGCTCACCTTCCCTCTAGCTCTCCCGTGTCTCTGAATTGGACTTAAAGAATCGATTCAATCTGTGTTCTTTCATTATAATGCCCCAACTGAAACAGCTCATTTCCCATTTCAGTTGGAGAGGGACACATAATATCAATTTGGGCAACGAATTAATTCAATTATTCCAAATACTGGGGCGGCATCCGAATGGAAGACATTTTCGGAGTTTGGCCGCTCCCAAAGCAGCGACCTACGATCAAGTTTGTCCCTCTTTACATTTCTCAGGTGGGGATAATCGGAGTTGAGAACAAAAGCCGGAACGGCGCGTTTTATTCTCGGTAGATCCCCTTTCACTTTTGGTCCATGGACGAAACCAGTCGCAGTACTAGGCGTAGACAACTTACTAAAGTTTTTACAGCTTTGCAGCGGACGTTCCGAAGTGAATGCATTGAGAATCTAAAAGCCTGTTCCAAAGCATGATTAATACCGTCTAAACATGGAATGCAGTAGCACTGTGAGTAGAGAGGCGGAAGTAGGACGGAAACTTACGGGTCTCGCCTTGTATGATTAAGGAAGAAAAATGTACTGAACCTTTCTCTTTAAAACCGATTAGAAGTCAATTTGACGCAGATATGTTGAGAATACTTCCAAAGTGTGTGTTTCCGAGTGAGTTACAATTTGAACATCACATATAAGGCTTAAATTAGCGCTTGGCTGGGAGTAACTTCTATGTAAAAAAGCGACAATGACTTAATAACACGAATGCATACCTGATTCTGGGGACTGTCACGGCAGGCATCTGTGTTCATGTGCACTTCAATCGGTTCCAGTAGAGTCACTGTCCTTCGGCCTTTGAAAGTTCCGGCGATGCAGTGGAATCGTTCGGGTACAGTCTTCCAGCTTCTGGCTAAGCGTACCATATCACCAGCGTCCAAAACCCCAAAGCCGAAGAGGTGGTTGAATTCCAATCCCGCACCATTGATAGTCCAATTGTGTGTATGTTCTCGATCATATAGATGGTTTCGCTTCGAAGTGAGAACTGTCAAGTGCTGTATGTCTCTCCAAGTGAGATTTGGGTTTGTTTCCAGAGCGAGAGCGAACACTCCGGCCGCCTCTGGAGCTGCAGCTGATGTACCAGAGTGATGAAGAGTACAGTTGCCGTACAAGTCGACCGTGCCGACTCCAGCGTCCTTACGGAATGAGATTTTGCCGTTGGAGAATGTAGACGCTAGGGTTGACGCACACGACTCGTCGTAGACTGCTGTGTGACCATCGTTTGTAACCGAATTGATGCTGATCGTCCACATGGATGCGGCGTATCCGTCGCAGTTGCAGTCATCGTTGCGACCTCCGTCGCCAGAGGCCCACACAAACAAATTACCTTTCCCTTTACGTCCGTTGTTCACCCCATCTACAAGGGCCCGCATTGTTTGGTTTCTGGGACCATCCACCGTAGTACCATCATCGGTAGGACCCCAGCTGGCAGAATAAATGTCGACAATATCTCGAGCATATGACATCGCAGCGGCCTCGATCAAATCTGTCATATAAGGCTGATCTAGCATGCGCAACCCAGCAACGCGGGATCCTGGAGCCACACCGACTCCGCAGATGTGGTTACCTGCGACACCCGATATTTCACCCGCACAACGAGTTCCGTGGCTGTTGAACCAGTCGTCCGTGTATCGTGGATATGGGAAGGCATCGTTGCTGGAAAAATCGTAACTGGCCTCTGCAGCGTAATTTGGAGCCAGATCCGGATGTAAGTAATCGATTCCATCATCCATGATCGCGGTAACGACATTCCGTCCGGTGACATTTTGTGCCCAAGCAGCCAATACGTTCAAGTCTAAACCGGGGACACCATCTGATTGACCGACGTTGTGTAAATACCATTCCTTGGAAAACAGTGGGTCAGATTCCGTCAACGTAGCTGCAATCTCCTTTTCTTTAGCGTTCAATTTGCGCGGATGGGGTAACGGAATACGCGTTAGGTCATCCGAATCCAATGGACGATAGCCCCTTTTACGCCGAATGAAACCCTCCACTTGAACTGCCGAGTGTACAGCGGGGTGTTTGCTTAAACGGTCCGTGTGCTCCGGACTTGGCTTGCTATGAAATTCAGGTAGATCTCGACGAGAGAACACAAACTCCTCGGGTTTACTCACCGGTGGTTTTGTTAAGCGGATAAATCCAAGATCATCTGCCAACTTCGTAGCCGTCTTTTCATAGCTCCGTTCATCTTCATCAGGTCTAAGCCGGACAAGCCACTGGTTTGTATGCACACGAGATGCACACGTGGTCAGGAGGCAGAATAGTTGAACGCATAGTGGTAGAAACCAGCGCATCGTTGTTGCTTCACTGCATCGTCACCAAGCGATGGAACAGTGATTCTATTCCTGGTTTGGACGTGGTTGATATATGTGGATGAAGATGTGGACTTCCAACCTACGCATACTAGGTCCACTGTGCTTGCCTAGCAGGAATAGCGACGTGTTTGCATTTCCCCCCTCTCTCCCAAGGCCGGACTCAAACATGGTGTGTCTGTGTGGCCATGTCCGTACAACCTTCGGTCCATCCGCCTACCTTCGTTCTTCCCGTGAGAGTTCAATGCCCGGCCAATTCGGTAAGGAAGTGAGAACAGGCCAGAATGTAGCCAATGCTAAAAACGGATCAATTGAGTGTGAGATTTTGAGTTCGTATCGCCACGGCCTAATGGAGGCCAAAGATGTCCGCTTTTGGGTCAATAATGTAGGAAAGAATTCGCTTTAGTCTCATCAGTGAGAAAGAAATCAACGGACACGGGATTTTATTTGTTTGTAATGAGAAAACAGTGAATTGACCAGCCAAACACACCATCAGAGAAAGCTAACATTACTATCGTATTTCCTGGATCAGCTTGGTCACTAAGAAAATATGATCCTCTGTCAGAGGATGTTTGTACTCTTTAATAGACTTGATGAGGGACCTCGTTCAACAACATCGACTTCAAACTAACTCCTAACATCCAACTGGACATCGCATGACATTTGGTCTGATCAAACATCACCACACGCCAGATAATCTCGTCTGGTCAGTGTAGTTTATGTATGGGAGAATAGTTTTAGCTCGGGATTTGCCTTAGTTGCAGACGTTTAGTTTTTCAAAAAGGCAGCAAGAGCGAACAACCCAGCACCCTCGATCTTTTTCAGACTGTTGGGATCTAGCCCTCTTTGTATAAACACTTAGTCAGGTCGATTATGCACAGCTATTGTGTGATATTGTTCACAGCCCAGATGGGCTCCGTCACACCCAGTCTGATGACCATCAACATCAGGAAGCAAATAGGAAATAGGTTCGCCAGCGTTCGCCGCTTTTGAACTTTACTTCTGATGTGGAGCACACAGTTGCTTTAGCTCAGAAAGGTAAAACAGGCACTTGATGGCAGATTGAAGGCACCTAGCCAATGTAACTTCTAGTTGGTTGTATATAATATCACGCAGCAGTTCAATTCTGGTGGCTTAGATAACTTGGTCATCAGTAACGGTTGCGAAATTGCCGCAATAAGATCGAACTTAGGAGGACTAGATACAACTTCTTGTACCATAAGTTGTAATGATCCTTGTGGCTCGACAGAAGATCACTTTGGAGCGATAGATTCACTTCACCAAAACTGAGAGTAGGGGTTCTCAAATTTGTTGTGCTGTGGACCCCATTGTAGTGGAACCTCGCAGCGCGGACCTCCTGACATATTGTTAACCATAGGACTAGGCTTTAATAGAATGAGAATAAGGCGGAGTGTCCCGAAAAATTCTGTCTGGCACACTGAATTAATACGGGTGTTCATTACTGTTAGTAAAACCCATTAAACACATTAACGCTTAATGTGTCGGATGGAAATGTTTCTGACATACAGCGCCTACTATTAGGATGCTTGGTGTCATTGAGGATATCTGCGACCTCATGTCTGGTTCAGCTCCATGTCTATTGCAGTACTAAGTTTTTGCATAATTGAAATGTACAAATGCATTTTCACACATGTAAGACGTGGCAAATGGGAGAAGTAAGATGACAACTGCCCTCGTTATGACAGAATATTCGTCCTTCGTTTTGAAACAAACAATGAAAAGTGAGACTTTGTAAAGTCCTTCATTAGATAATACTATAGAAATGTAAAAGGATGTAGCTTTATCATGTAAGTAAACGGGTTCTTGGCATATGAAAATTTGTGTCCTTTTTCGTCATTTTGGCTGAGGAAATATTGAGACAAAGCTTTTACCAGAGCTTCAAAATCTTAGTAGATTTTGACAGAAAGAACCTCTGGAAATATTACACTCCCCTTCGTCTCTTCTACAATGTCTTTTAATGCCGGAAATCTGTCAATATCTGCATTGAGAACGGAATGTTCCACAATTCTAAATCTTTGGAAACATGGAGTTGTATTATTTACATTATAGTGTCGCAGATTTACGTCATTTATTTGTACAAAAAGATCTGACAAAAAGACAAGTCACCAACCACTTTGTATCAGTCATCTGGAAGTATAAATGCATGATTCAGGAGGAAAGCGGATACATCTGTGCGTAACTCTAATAAACGCAGAAATAGTTTACTGCGAGAGAGCCATTATAGTTGAGAGTGGACCATCAAAGATGTGTGAGCTCATCCGGTCGACAGACATAAAGAGGCTAGCCACGTTCGATCATCGCTGCCTCCGCAGCTTAACTCATGACTGGTGGGAGCACTGCGTGAGCAATGAGCTTGTATGGCGTCGTGTATCTGGTGCAGGAAGAGCGAGTGAATCGCTCAGCACTATTATATCATGCACCAGGCTCCGATTGCTGGGCCACGTGTTGTGCATGCCAGCACACCGATTCGCGCGACATGCATTGTTTGCGCACCCGGGGGTGCGGAAAGAAGAGGAGGAGGTCATGCCATGAGATGAAGTGGTAGAGAGAAATGAAAACCCTCACTTCGAAGTTGGCGTCGGTTGGTGCATCCCGACTGTCTGGCTAGGGTCCTAAGGACGATGAACACCTTTGGTTGGATAAACTTGCTGATATGGCTAGGAGCTGGCCCAAATGACGTTTGTGTTGTGAGTTCCTTTGTCCATCCCCCTCCTGCTTAGCCTACCCCACCAATCACGATCTCATTCGTTAGGCATAATCTAACTCTTTTTGCAGCACGATAGCCGGCTGTTAGCTCTCCGGAACGGTGTCCATCCGTCACAGGGGACTCAGCCGGCGTTGTTGTTTTTTCTTGTTGTTTTTTCTTGTTGTCTTTTGTATTGCGGCACAATAGTTGAGGTGTTTTCCACCTGCAGCTAACGTGTATAATGTTGGTACTGATGACAGTCATGTGGGCGCTTCCCAGCAATCCCACAGAAGTTTGAACAGTCGATTGTTCATAGTCCGAAAGTGAATGAAACTAAGTATTTTCACTGCCTCATCGAGAACAAGTTTGAGACTGCCTGACCATTTTATTACAGCAATTGCTTGTCGATGAAGATACATTGGCTACTGGTGCAGGTTTTTGCAACATTTTTTCTTATCACAACCTCAACAATCTTCCGTCATTGCTTTGGCACCCTCAGTGCAAATATCGATACAGTTGTTCAATGAGATGTTATTTGTGTGCATGAAATTATTCACGATGTTAAACATTTCAGCACCATCAGTGTTCTTCAGTGGAGGTTCTTACAAAGACATGTATTCGTGCAGGGATAGTTGGTGTCGGTATCTCACAAGCACAGGAAACACAGAAAGTCCTGTCACCTATGTCGACTCCTCCGTCTGAAGAGAGAAATGAGTATACCTCATGCGTGAGTTAACTCCTAGTTATTAGCAGTTGCTAGTGCCATAATGTTTCGAGATACCTTAGCACTTACAGACTGTTGTTTTGCAGCTTTTCCATCCAGCATCGACCTAGCCATTTCGACTGCACATGGTTTGATAAGTTTCACGACTATTGTGTGAAGTTATCCTGTCAGCGTAATGCGACCCTTAACGATGTAACATGCTACATTTACAGTGTGAGACAAATGAGGCGTGTACTTTTGGGTGTTCAACTGTTCATCTCGCTTGAACTCAAAGTATTCCTTTTTCTGTCTTTACGATCCAAATGCATATTTTTCAAATGTCGCCACATTTTCATAGGCACCTTAGAATTGTTCGGAACACTTAAGTACACTATCACGCCGTGGGCGATTGTTAGACTCCACAAATCTAGAAGGAAGATAAATGTCGTCTCTTATCTACTGGTACAAAGGCTCCGGTTGGCACATATTGATGTTGTATCGGATCATGTGGTACAGGTAAATCAAACGTCTCGGTTTCTGCATTCTCAGTAAGCAATTTAGATGGCTCAACTATTACCACACCAGAATTCAACGATTAATATGTCTGTGGCGCACTTATCAATGTTCTTATCTTCCACCAACTGCTCATGTGTATATTATCACAAATGCTAATCTAAAGCTAAATAATGAAACACAAGAATCTAGAATACTCCACAATGTGCTTAGTTAAATAACTAGAACTCTGAATAAAGTATTAAGTAAATTAACCAGAACAGCCGTGCATCCTCTGAAAGCATCCCGCGAACCTCTTGGGGTTCCGAAGGTCACACTTTGAGAAACACTGACTTAGAGGAAGGAAAGAACAGTTTGTTAGTGCAATATATCTATCCAAGTTAAACAACTCTTTTCGGTAATAACATCTGAAATAGTGGGATTGGACGGTTTATGCACTGAAGCTGAGTTAGGCAATCAAAATTGTACTATTTTTTTTGGAAACCTTTGACGCAGCTATGTGCCAATTATTTCCTTAAGTGTCTTGATCCGTCGCGTCGAGACTGAACCTTAACGTGGTGCGACGGTTTGCGTACCTCATTGAACCATTGAGCTATACTGGATGATGCCTCCGAGCACCGTGAGAGCTACTCCTACTAGGTTGGTCAATGGTGAGAGGTCAGACAAACTCAGTCTCCTGGTCCTCCAGGTTGGGGGTTTGAAATGGGATGGCTTCCATTTCTGTCAAACTAAATCATTGCCACCTCCCCGCTGGCTTGTGGACAGGCTTTTGAGCCAAAGGATTTGGATGAGGACCCTAATCGTCCTCCTGTCTAGGTCTGGGCGCCCTGGCAGTATCTCAGCCCACATACAACAATGACGTTTTCTTCAAATATAAACTTCATCCTGCATCGGCCGTCGCGCAGATTATCAAGGTTCGCCTTATCTGCTGCATACAGCAGGGTGGATAAGCGAAAACATGCTACTGCTGGCGCCCCCTTCTTTCTTTTCCACTTATTTCTCTTACTCCCATCCCGACCCCCATTACTAACCTTCCTTCTATATTTCCTAGCTTAAAGGACAGCAACCGAAGTGCCATTGGAGTAGAATCATCTGTAGCCACCTTCTCGCGACACGC